CAAAATTTATTCTGGCCTATAATATCTATTAACCAATAATTATGCTCTCCCCTAGGATATAGCGCAACTGCCCTACGTTAAGTAAATACGACACAGTGTTACGTTATTTGTGTGTATTACGCTTGCAGTTTTAACTTTTAAAAGCCGCCCACTGAAATACAGTGAGACCGAATTGACGTACAGAAGTAAATTACACTATTCCATCATTCATCTGTAGATCAAATACAAGTCCTATAGTACACCGTACAAGTAAGTGTATGTTCAACAAAAAGAAAATACGAGATTGATGTAACATATTAATTGGCAATATATATGCAACAGGGAAGGCCTAGATCTAGATCTTGCCTGTTGCATATATTGCCAATCTTGCACACCAGTAATATGTTACATCAATCTCGTATTTTCTTTTTGTTGAACATACACTTACTTGTACGTTGTACTATAGGACTTGTATTTGATCTACAGATGAATGATGGAATAGTGTAATTTACTTCTGTACGTCAATTCGGTCTCACTGTATTTCAGTGGGCGGCTTTTAAAAGTTAAAACTGCAAGCGTAATACACACAAATAACGTAACACTGTGCCGTATTTACTTAACGTACGGCAGTTGCGCTATATCCTAGGGGAGAGCATAATTATTAATTAATAGGCATTATAGGCCAGAGGAATTTTTGAGCCCCTTCACACCTGCGCCGGGGGCGACCACCCTTCTCTTGATACGCCACTGTTAACCCCCCCCCAAAAAAACGTACATCATGTATAATAGTTCAACGAACCGCCTAAACGTCACCTCCGTACAGCCTATATAATGTGTAAAGTTTAGTATTGCTACGACAGCGGTAGTCACGTGACTCTGGTGACACGTCATGATATTCTCGAAGGATCGGGGAACATCACGAATAACCCAGTATGTGCTAGGCGCCCTCTATTCCTGTATATAAGTGCGCCGGATAACGTGAGGCAAATTGATGGAATTGAATTGCAGACTAAGATAGAGACGGACAAATGAGTCAAGCGCGTGAATCGTTCGTTGTGAATTATAGCGTTTGTTTTAAGTTATAGCGTGACTGTGGAAATTAAGTCAATTTCAAAGTTGTATTGAGAAAGAATAAACTAGTTTATTTAAGAAAGGACTTTTATCGCTAAAGTTTCTTCGGAAATAATTTTTACGGAAAATTAACAAACGAACACAGAGACGTAACAGTATACTCTAATTCCTTATAATGATGGCACACGATGAGAAACACATTCGGCATGTAATGCTGTTTGAATACAAGAAGGGAAACAACACCTCTGTAGCCACAAAGAATATCAAAGATGATAAAGGAAATGTTTTGGACGTTCGTAAGTATCAACGATGGTTCAGCAAATTTCGTTCAGGTGACTTTAGCCTTAAAAACTGTGATGGCAGGGGACGACATGGTGGAATTGATATTGATGCTCTGAAGACGCTTGTTGAGTCTAACCCAAGGCAACACACACTCGTGAAGTGGCCCTGAAATTGCATGTCTCTCATGAAACAATACGTAAATGTCTAAGGAATATAGAAAAACTCCATAAAGAAGGTGTTTGGGTGCCTCACGAACTCTCCGATGATCATCGTGTCCAACGTGTGAATGTTCCAACGTCTCTTCAGGCGCGTAATGCGCGTCAATCATTTTTGGACAGAATTATCACCGGTGATGAAATATGGATTCTCTATGAGAGTATTAAACGCCATAGACAATGGCTCAGTCCTAGACAAAAGCCACTTCTGAACCCAAAACCTGGACTCCATCCGCAGAAAGTGGTGCTTTGCATTTGGTGGGATATTAAAAAGGAGTAATCCATTTCGAAATCTCCAATCCACAGCGAACTGTTAGTGCAGATATGTATAGTCAGCAACTGTAACGTTTAAATCAAGCCTTTCACCAGAAACACCCTTCACTCGTCAATCGGAAAAGTGTTCTTCTTCTCCGCGACAATAAGGATTTTATTTGTAAAAGTGAAATAGTAGATGTGTTAAAATCTTACTGAACCATAGAAACACTGCCCTTAGTTACACCATCCACTTAAAGTAACATTATCTTTAGTAAGACCTTGTAATAATAA